AACAACGAACCTAATAATCGAGTCGCAAAAAATTTAGAATAAAAATTGTAGGTGTTAAAAATATTTATAAAATGTAGCATCATACAATAAAATTGGTTAATTCACTAGGCTGGAAATGATAAAAAAGCATCTAAAATCGCACTATTTTCAGTTCTCAATTATTTATGTAAAATTTAGTATATAATGTTGAAACTTTGTGAAAATGTAGTTTTTGTCATTCTTAAAAAGTGTGGAAAACTTCATCTCCGAATATTTATTAGTTTTTGCAAAAAAAGCTATTTAACAACTAAAAACATGTCTTCGTAAAACAATTTCTGCAATTTTCAGTAGTCGCATAGCATTGATATCGGGTATTTCTTCTATTTTTATTATTATTTTATTATTTGCGTACAACACAAAACTAATTGATTTTGTAATTGTAAAGTTTTAAAAAATGACGCCAAAAACTATACATAATTTAATCTCTTATAGGTCCATTAACACTGATAAAACATGTTTATAGTAGAAAAAATATAAGTATATAGATAGATAAGATCATGAATAAAATAGATACAAGTGCATAAGAATATAACATTTATCATTAATATATATGTTAAAAATGTAAAAATTATTGGAATTGAATAATACAGACAGGAATAAGTGCATAATTATAATAACAATTCTTAAAACTCTTTAGTTATTTAATAATACTATAACAATTATGTTTTTCATAATGTGCGTTATAAGAACATATAGAGTCAATGGTTATGATTAATAATAAATTAATGACAAAAGTAAAAGGATTCATCAAATGTTTGAGACTCTAGGCTCAAAAGGATGTAGCAGGTAAAATTATTTGTCTTAAGAAGGGAAAACTGACCAAGATTATTTTCCATTATGTCTCAATAAACCAGTGATGAATCGTCCGAGAAAAAGATTTGATGACATTTTGGACGAGACGTGTTGACGGGAGTAAGAAACGCGGGCTGGTTGTCCAAATATTTCCGAGGGCTATATAATATGAGTAGTAATTCTCCTTCTGCAAGTGACCACTTCCACATTATAGGTGTAGGGGTGTACAATGCGACCCGTGAGTGGACTGCACGAGAATTCCATGGGCGTTACCCATCGATCGTTGTAAGCAATAAACCATTATGAAGTGCTGTGACTCGACGAATACATACTGGAACAGAAAGCCAAAAACAAGAGAAGTCCTATGTCCTTGACAGGCAACTGTTAATTTCTTAAGCGATAGAATAAGTGTTCAATGACATCATAAAGTTATTGTTGTTAAGAGAGTCAGAATTTCGTGAACTTCTAGATATAAACGTATAAAAGTATAAAAATATAAATGTATAATAATAATAATAATATAAACATGTAAAGATATAAGTGGATAAGGAGATGAAAACATCTGGAACATAAAAAAAATCTAGAATATGAACGTAAGAAAAAGTTCTGTCTTAGTGTATAAAATTTCGGTGTATATTAAGTTGTCGGGAAAGTTTCTTTCGTGTTAGAAGGAAACAATAAATGCATTTTATATTATATTTTATTGCACGTATTAATATACTGCACGTAATGCAAAAGGGATAATACGATATAGATTGTAGGATAAGAAAAGTAATGGATCAAAATAATATAAAACAAAAAATGTTGTGCATTTATTGTTTCCTTGTGAAACGAAAGAAACTTTTCGGACAACCTAATACAATATAACGCGAAGAATATTAGATCAGGGGGCTTCCAGTATGAAGTCGCTTGCAGATTCATAAAAGACGCATGGTTGGTTTGCCAATCGCAGTCAACATTTACAACATTTCCCCTCGAATAAGCCACTTGTTCACGTTTCGGCCTACCTGTTAAACCCAGAAGATTAAGGCAGCGCTCGTATTTCGTCCCTGTAGGATTTGGTCATTATGTCGGCATGTCGTTGGACGAGACGTGTCTCAAAACCGTTTCATCTGATCTGATGACTCCAACAAAAATAGAGACAAATATCGATGTGTTTCGTCCGTGCATGGAACACGGGCTTGCACCCTTGCACGTTGGAGTTATCGTTGCACAATTTGACAGATTGCCGTTCAAGTCACGCCGCAATTCACCTCGGATCAGTCTTACCTCGATCTTCAGGGATGTCAATACCAGATTTCAGTACTGTATTCCAAACCGTTGGAAAACATCCTACATATATGTCCTCCCATGTCCGTTCATGAAAATTCCCTCATCATTTCTGGTGAAGTTTATTTCGAGACATCGCTTTGTCTCCTCAAGGTCACTTATTTCGAAGAAACTTACCAACCTCTGCCAAACAGCTGCATTAAATTCGCGACACATAATCAAGATGTCATTGATATAGTTGACGATGATTATGAGCTGCTTCACTTGGCCTTTCTGATAGACGCAGTGTATACGCGACCACCATATTTCAGAACGTAGAAGGCCTTTTTCATGCGGCAGGCTACGTTGTCGCTGTCATCTCGTCCAACATGGTCCCTAGCAATAATTGTACTTTGCCCTTCGTTATGTTCGACGATGTATTGGAGGACTTCCTTCATTCGATCTGGTATATCTATGTAGACCTCCTCATCGAGCTTACCATTGAAATACTCTGTCGCTAGTTCACATAGCCGGATTCACAGCGAATGCGACAGTTCATCTTATAGAGCTCAGACGCGCAACAGGAGCGTAAGTCTTGTGGAAGTCCTTTCTGCGCTGGGATTTCTGCAATGCTGCGAATATCCCTTAGCAACGACTTGTGCCACATTTGTTATAGAACACGAAGCGACTCCTAATGACTGTCCTCTTTATGGTCCTAGCGACCATATCCTATGTTTCTTTAAGGAGAGTGGATCTTTTGAAACTTTACGGCACTCAACGTTTGACAGTTCCCAAAGAATTGTGTTAGAGAAAAAAGATCATTCCCTCACGTCGCGGTAAGCACAACATTTCCATTTCGGTTAATGACCTCAGACCTTTCCCGGATAGAAGGGCACTGCGTTTTTTGTTGGTAATCCTACATATCGAAATAAGATTCAGTCGAAAACCGGAAAATATTGATTATCCGGGAGATGAAACTCTTATCTATTTTCATCAACATTCGTGATGGCCGACACGATGCCTCTTCCCATTATGTTTGCATGGCCACTGTTAGAAAGATTCAATACTCTCAGGATGTAATCCATGTTCAGCCCTTGAAATAATTTGACGTTCTTCCACATGTGCAATGTACACCCACCGTCATAACACCAAACGTGTTTCGCATTATCATTGTAATACGAAACATTGTTTACCAATACGTCCGAAAATGCAAGTAAACTTAAATTATCGGTGTCACTGGCGAACAGTCATTTCTGGTTTCTTACTCCTTGACAATTCTTCACAAAATGTCCTCACCTGAAACATTTCACATTAAAATCATTTTTCGCGATATGAGCTTTTCCATGTCCGATCCACCTTTTCCGTGACGATTCTTGCGATGATGCGCTTTTCTACGTTTTTATTTTGCTATCATCATCATATTTTATTTCACGTTTAACTTCATTTCGTTTTACGTATCGAATTCTTCCACAATTTTAATTTGCAACGTCTCAAGGGATGACAATGCGTCATGGGCAGACATGGCGCAATGAAAGCTTTCAAAGCTGCAGGGTAAGCTACGCAACCACATGATCACCACGATCATACACACACATCTGTTTTTAAGGTTAGGAGTTCTAATTTACAAATTAGCCACCACAAAACCTTGTGATCGCGAAGTTAAGATTTCGTATTTAACGTTATGCTTGGGTAAAAGCATTGAAAGAAAAGAATAGAAATTAAACACTGAGCTTACTCAATGACAAAACTACTTTTCATAATTTTTCACCATTTGTTTAAAGTAGGTACATATGCAGTATTTTGTTTGGTACAACAAAATGCTGTTTAGATGAATATTAATTTTGAATCATTATTAAACATATATTTCTATTTTCAACGGAAAAGTTTACTAATATTACAATTTCCAAATCAAATATGTACACATGTATTTAATACTTTTATATTTCACGCGTATATTGGAAGGCAAGTTAGTTTTTAGTTTTTCTAATTTATTAGAAAATTGTTTAATTATTAATACTTTCTATGATATGTGTAAATAATATCATGTCCAAAATATTATTCACGACTAAAACTTTTCAATGTTATTAAATTTTTTATTGAAAAATCAAAGTTATAATATAATTTTGAAGTTTGCAAATGTTTCTAATAAAAATGAAAAAAGTATTTATATTATATGATATTTATTAGACATTAGTTAGACACAAAATAATAATAATATAATCATAATAATCATATATCTAAGATGAAATTTTGTCTCTATTATTATTATCGTGGTACTGCTTTTTGCTTTCATCTCTTTAGCTGCTCGGCCCGTGAATCGAATACGCGACCGCATTAAGGAGAGAGAGAGAAAAAGACAGAGACAACCGAGTCCGGGCTATTTTTACACGATGACGTCACACAATGAATTTTGACTTTTCGACTAAAGCGGCTTACTGGGAACATATCGAGCAACAGTTTCCGATCATTAAAAGCCTTACCATCACCGCGGGAATTTCCAGACTTGTATATACGACAGTGCCACCAATAGAATCTTGATTGATCTTGATTTTCAGTTCCGCTAACTTATCCATCACGTCGAAGAAACGCCGAAAACGTTCGCCATACAGCATAACCATTTTGCATTTTCAGCAACTCCAAGTGATTCAAGAGCACGACCTTTCACGTTAGCCCTTTTTACTGATAGATGTTCTTTAATTTTAGTCAAATCTCTCTTATATTCTCATATCTCTTTATCTGCTTAATTTCCGATGGACTAATAATGAGCACAAAATTCGAATATGCTCTCAAATCGTTCTCGATTTATCTTGCCGCTCCTTGCACCGATGTTGTGCCGCCCTGCATAAATTCCGGCTTGGGAATCCTGCCGCTCACGTACCATGGAGCTGCCGCTCCATTCATCCGTCTTTGTTAAAACCGCACGCATTTAAAATTCCACGTGTTATACTTCTCTTTATCAAGCACTTCGAATCTCATTCCCATCCATTTTTGCGATGCAACGAAGAACTTCCTGACTCAAGGATTGCATTTATAATCTAAAAAATTATAACTTGCATTACATAACACGCGTTCTAAGAATTTTTTATTTTTTGAGATTACCATGTGCCTCGGTCAATAACCTGTTCGACACGACTTACGTGCCCGCAATAAACAGACTGAAGAAGCTCATGCCCATTAACAAAAAACCAACGGTTTAATCGCTAATCACTGAGATTTCTAACATTTATTCCTCTAGTAGCCGAGTTTATCATTCTTCCTTAGTGTTTATTATTTTTTTACTAATTCTGTAATCCAGTCTTCTCTATTCTCTAGTCCGGACCTTCTATAAAAAGTTCGTTATTTTAATTTGATAACTTAAATTTGTAATATATTGAAGTATTCTCGCAAATTTTAAATTCATTTTTCTTCGATTTTTTCTAATACACGGGTAATAAATCAGTATAGATTTCTTTTTTGGTTACTTACATACAATATTGTAAAAATATATAACATAACATATTTATAATACGGTTGATAGATAACAAAAATAAAAGATCCAGTGATTTGAAATTTATTAAACATACAAAATTTGTTAACTAATTATGTACTGTTACTTGAGCATTATAAGATAAACCGAAGAAGAATATATATTTTCAAGTTGCAAAAATATTGGGACATATCAATTTACATTATCAAACTAAGGTAACGAGTTCTTTTACAGAGGTATGATCATTCCTGGAATGAATTGCATCGTACAATTAGTAAAAAATTACCTCGCAGTAGCAAACAAAATATCTCCTGTCTTCCACTGTCAATAATACATTGACCTTTAGCCTACACATAACAAATTTTTAACAGTTTTTCTTGTTTTCTTGTTTGTTTTACATGTCTTATACATGTAAAACCAAAAAATCGATACAAACCAAAAATATAAACTCTATTTTCATAGGTCTCAAGTGGATTAAGAGGCACTGTTTAAGAACAAGAAAAGTTAAACCGTTCTATCCTTAGAAGGTTTCGGTAGTAAAAACCTTATCACAGTTTTTCCCTCGTTTCTTATGGCCCGATCGTTTCGCTCGTCGCATTTGTTTTTCTAACATCTAGAAATCGACAGCTTCGTTCAGCAGTTTCCGACATTGTTGGCGCCGGTACCGTGGCCCGATCGGCAAACTCCGGTCATAGCTTTTCGACTATCACCTTATCATAGCGAACATCGGCGAGCGGCCATTGTTTACGCTTCACGTCTGCCGTTGACTTTTTTTGTATCTTAATCATTCAAACTGCTTAGACCTGTAGCGGCACGTAAGTAGAGGACAATTCAAATCATGTTGTTGTGTTGCCTCGGACTATCAAGATCGTTAGGATACACGTAATGTAATAATAAATAAACTCCGGGCAAAACAGTGTCGCCGCTATGTGCAACTGTCGAACAAAGACGAATTTGAATTTTTCGACTCTCCCCCGACCATTATAAATAAACGGACGCAATCGAAAAGAGTTCAGTTATCCAGGAATTATCATGCAGTTATCAACCAGTTATCTAACAGTTATCGATCAGCATCTACGAGTATCTATCGAGTATTTATCAGCGATCTTATTTTGCGACTTATACATTGTACGAACGTCTCAGCGAATATTGTCTGTATACTAATTTATTCACTTATTTTAAATATATACGGTTTCAACAACGAGCAATCTTGTTTAATAAATCTCACGATCAAACATCCTCTACACAAGTCCTCTACAGACCCCTGCGTGTTCCGAAAGATTCAAAGGAACCAACGGAAGAAGAGCACGCAGGCATATAAACTGGCGAGCCACGCTCGGCTTGTGTCAATTAATCACTTAATCATCGAAGGCTCGGAAAATTCAGAAGAATACCAAGTACATGCGTCGCCTTTGCTACGCTTTGTCAACTCCAATTTAACAATCGGCATGGTGAGTCGCGCTCGCCTCACCACTGCTTTTCGTATCACATTCCGCGCTCGGTTCATGTGCGGTCCCCATCGCGATTTCGCGTCACGGTTTAATCCGTTTCAAGTACGTGCTCGTGCTTGACCCGACTCATGGCCGCGCCCTGCTTATCGTAATCATAAGTCTAAACCAAGTTTCGTACCGTGTATCATATCTTTGTTAAGTTTTTGTTTAAATAAAATTTAATATTGCTACAGCATATGTCGCGATTATTCTTCGTTTAGTCCAAATTCTTTTCTTAGCATATCGTTGATGCCCTAGTGATATCTAGGGGCAACATAACTAGCGCTCAGAAAAAAGCCTTATAAATAAAGAAAGGAAAACAAGTATACTGCAGTAAATGGTGCAGTAACTATACTGTATAGTATAGTTACTATATAGTATAGTTACTATATAGTATAGTTACTGCACCATTTACAAAAGGCTACAAACGTTCGTAGGCGCATCATGCTACATTTATTTAAAATTTAAGCTAAACATATTAATTATTTATATTGTATGTTTGTGTTGCAGTGCGAGATATCGTTTATGCCTTGAAAAGCAACTTAATGCAATCAAGTCTCTTTAAAGCTTAAATGCGTTATGTGATTCGTCATGTGCTCTAGCTGTTCCTTTAATGACAGTCTAATAATGTATCGGGCAGTCCTGGCCTTCCTACGTGTGTTCAAGCGGTAATGTTCTTCATAAGCGCATTCTTCAGTGGAATGTATTGCATGCGAAGTTCTCTCTTCGATATCCCAAAACTTAATTGTAATTGTAAGTCGCCTAGCGTCACGTGACAGAGTGGTTGTAGGAGGAGTTCATGAAAACAGTTCTCCAGCCAGAATCTAATCTAACAGCGGTTTGGTGCACGGGTTGGTTATTTGAATCTAATCCGCACATGCTAAATGTCAAAATATTTGTGCGTCGAATATTCCGTCAACTGTTACAAGTTTATGACATTTCGTTTCAACTAGTTGCATGTCCCGAAGAATGTTTAAAGCACTATAACTCATGGATACCATCAGCACACAGAATGCGATATCGGAAACTGGTGAGAATGTCACGTATTGTGTGAAATTGGTTATTCGCGATCGTATACGTGTTTAGGTAAAATGATTCCCAATAAAGAACATATTCAATTATGCATATGTAAAGTAAAAAATTCACTAAAAACCATTAATCGATTTGAAATAGTGGACTAGTGAATTAATTACTCAGTTATGTATTTAGTTATAAATGTAAGTTTAAATTCAAGGTCTTTTATAATACAGGATGTTTGGTAAATATAAGGTGTAGGTGTACAATTTAAGGGGTAATTCTTGAAGCTAAAATGAGATGAAACTTAAAACTTAAGAATAAAAATATTTACCCTGTTACGTTTTTGTTTGGCTCGTTTTGGTTGTGTTGCCGTTAATTTTTGAATTCAGATTAAATTGTAGTGTTGTCTGTTGTTTAATGCGATTGGCAATTAAACTCCACGTTTCGGTTAACCTGCTACGCGCAGGACTACTGGCACGGGAGAGAATTAAAGTTGGTGAAAATAAATGTTCGCTTAATCCTATTATATTATTAGGCAAATATTCTTCACAAAAAATGTTTATTCGTATTCTAATTGGATATTGACAGAATTGTCGTTGAGATTTCGAATACTCAAAGTTACAATCGTTAGCAATACGTTTTCACTCTTATTAATTACAAGATTTTAATTTGATTGATTTTCAATAATTTACAAATTGACAAATACGAACACGTCGATTAACAAGACTAACAGGAACTGGGAACTAACGAAACAAAGAACTAAAAGCTAAAGAACTAAAGGATTAAAGAACTTAAGAACTGAGAGCAAAAAACTAAGAGCTAAAGGAACTAAGAGCTGAAAAGCTAAGGAACTAAAGAATTGAAAGGGAAAGGAACTTAGAAATTAAGAGCTATAGGAATAGAGAATTAATCGCTATGAACAAAGAAATTACTTGCCAAGAATTGGGGAACTGATCGCCAAGAACCAAGGAATTAATCACCAAGAACTGAGGAACTAATCACACAGAACTGAGGAATTAACTACTCTGAACTAAGGACGTTACGTGTTCGGCTTTATCTTTTAGTTTTTGACAATTAAAAATCAGCCGAAATATCCCTGTATGCCAATAAACCTCCTTACATGAATGAAAGGAGGCCAGCCTAAGCAGCGGAGTGCACAGGGATCCTCAAATCGAACGATACATCGACATCAGCTTATCTCGTATAAGTTGTGGAGAAGAAGATTATGATGTTCGAAAATGTAACTTGTTAGGTTTAGTCATTATAATTCATAACAGTATATCGAAAACTGCCTCTATTTTCGAGAGGAATTAATTAAATTTTAGAGAAGATTAACTTATTAGAGAAGTTTCCTCTAATCCTTTGTTTCCATAAATAAGTAATAAATAATAGCACATATAAACAATATTTATACAAATTTCATACATGCACCGCGATCGTTCCGTCTGGGGTTATTCACAGAAAAGTCGCATAGCATCAAGTATTTTTGAGATGCTACTAAATGTGGTCGAGCACTGTCTTCTGTGAACCACATACATTTTTCACACAATTTACAAAGGTGTCGTTTTATAGAGTAATGTGTAATAGTACAAATTAATGTACAACCAAATGCAAAATTATATTTACTGCGTTGAATAGCTCCTTTAAGATTTCGCTTTCATTGCTAAAATGCTGTTATCCTTGCAAGGCAGTTCTTAGCATTTTTAAACACATTTGGTGAATAGCCTGTTTTCGCAATAGGCATACCTAACTATGCCTTAAAAAGGAACCACTCAGGTATCATGACTGGCTAATTTCGAGAAAATTATACAAAGAAAACGGAAGCGTTAGCAAACATCATAGTAATTTTTTTTCTGTATGAACTCTTCATTACTACCTTGTTACGCAATATGTTTTAGTGATTTTAGAAACTTAGTAAGAAGATGAAACAGTTATGGAAGGACAGAATCATTTCAGCGGCCAAACAGAAACATTGCGAGAATTGTATAAATATAAACTTGGAGTTAATTGTAGATTTAGTATAGCTTTAAGTTATTCAGTTTTAGACTCTTTTGGGCTTTTTTTATTTTTAGTTCTTTTAACTTTTTTATTTCCTTCATTTTGTTATTTTTTAAATCGCTTTTTATTTAGTTTCAACGCGAGTGTGTACTAGAGTGTGTACTGATTGGGTGTGTAGTACGTACAATGCGTGTTCTATGCATTGTGCGTACTATATACTTTGTTTGCAAGAAAATAAAGGCTATATTGAACATTTATTGTAATATAAAACGATTCCCATTTTCGTTACACTTTTTCTAAGAACAGTCTGAACCTTCGCGGTGCGTGTGTGATCTTTGTTCTTGTTGTGCGTATATGAAATTTGTACAAACATTGTTTATATGTGCTGTTATTTATTACTTATTTATGGAGACAAATGATTAGAGGAAATGTTAATCCTCTCTAAAATTTAATTAATCCTCTCGAAAATAGAGGCGGATTTCGATATATTGTTATGGATTGTAATGAGTAAGCATAACGAGTTACATTTTCGAACGTCATAATCTTGTTCCCTACGACTTATACGAGGTAAGCTGCTGCCCATGTATCTTTCGATTTGAGGATCCCTGTGCCTAGATTCACCTACTTTCGTTTTTGTAAGGATGTTTGCTCGCGCACAGGGATATTTCCGTTAATTTTTAATTGTATATAACTGGGAAAAATAAAACCAAAAACACAATTATTTTATTCTTAATTTTCATCTTATTTTAGCTTCAAGAATCACTCCTTAAATTTTTTTACACCTGTAGCCGAACACCCTGTATAATAATGACACAGTTAGCAAGAATAATTAACTTCTTAAAACTTCTGCACATTGGCAACTTTATGTTATTTTGTACTCCTTTTATCCAAAGTTACAAACTTACCAAATATTAAATATATTTTATAGTACATCATCTTTAATTTGGTATAACATTTTAAGCATATTACAAACAAGCCGATAAAATAAAGTCTACAAGTTCTTTCCTTAAAAATATTTACATCTCTTACATCTTCAATGTGATTTTATTCATATATGCATAAATATTATGGTTGTTCATTTTTACTATGTGTTCGCAAACAATGTATATTATAAATCCAAAAAGATTCTTTTACCGTTTTGAACCAGAACTACATTAATTTTGTTTCTATGTTTATTAAACAATTCCTTCAAAATAAGATGTATGTGATTTTCAGGATAATCTTTTAATATACATAAACATCAATTGATTAAGGATGTTCCTGATCAGTGTTATATACTTTTATATAATAATATTTAATCGTATAATTTCAGACACTTTTATTCTTAGATATAACATAAACGAAAAGGTCATAATGGATAAGTTAAGATGATCAAAATTTCCAGGAAATCTCAATTTTTTGCATTCATAACTACTTATGACTCAACCCAATATAATTGTGTCTTCAATTCATGAATACCGAATCTTGTAACACCATCTGATTCATCAAATGTTTTCAATGTATGAAACAAACTATATGTACAGTAAAATTCTATTTATTTGGATTTATCTATTGCAGCGAAATTTTAGTTAGTGCTTAATTATCCAATTTCTTGTCAATTGAATACATATATTTAAATGTGAGTTCCTATTAGTTAAATAAAATATCGTATACGAAAATTAGAGAGATACAAATTAGAGAATTAGAAGAATTATACAAATTAAAGATTAGAGAAATAGAAGAATATTAAATTAATATACATTTCAGTTATATGATGAATTTGAGTATTTTGGAGTTGATGTACCTTGTTGGATTTCATTCTTATACTAAATTTTTAGTTAAGACATTGGTCAGATTATTTAAAAAATGGATCATTGGCCTTTGCAAACAATTCAACGATATTATACAAATAATTCCGTTCATGTAACAGCCAAAACTAAACAGAATGGTTTTTATGTAATTAAAGCTTCTAAAAAATGTCTCTGTATGTAAAACACATCACGAACAAAGAAATACATACAACTGCTCTATTTTCTGTAATTGGAACCATTTACAGTAGCTTATGAAAGGATTTGAATACCTATAAATTATTACCTGAAATTAATGCGAAAATGTACATAGAAGGTACAAGATATTTATTGCAAACAAATACTTCGTAGAAATGACAAATGTATTTAATAGTTAATCATCCAGTATAAGCCTTAGTGTAATAAGCTTTAATATTTCATTCTAATAATTCACGGGATCATCTTTAGTAGAGAAAGTACAATATATTTAGAATATAACTTTGTTTAAGACGTATAAAAAACTATAGCAGAAGATGGTAACAAATAAAATTGCGTAATTTTAATAAACTCTTATATTTCAAACTCTTACTAATAGTGAAAAACAAAAAGTATCTGAAACTTTGGTCTAATTGAAAAATGACATAAAGTAATGTTACGACGTAAGTAATTTGGACTAGAGGTATTCCAATTTACTTTCACTACATAAAATTCAAAAACAAGTAGATAAATAAAATTATTTTCTTTTACGATCTAATCACATAATATAATCATAGCATAGAAACTATCATCTTATTATAAATATAAATTGTATGTCTTAAAACTTACTAGCAGTAGTTATAGGTGTGATATAATTCCACAGTCGTAACAAACATATTCACAATCTATCCACATTTCTCATATGCTTTTTTTATTTTATCAATTTTTTATTAAATTCATAAAATAAATTACATTAATTTACATTCAAAAAATCAAAGAAGATTTTAGATAACACACGTGATATTTTTGTAAATCTTTCGTGTAATAAGAGTTCAAATATCTTTGTGCATACCTACTATATCCGAACAAGAACTCCTATTATTATATATTTGTACATAACGAATAAATATATATATTTATTCACATATAATAGTATATTTATACATATTTTAATACATATTTTAATACATATTTGTATGTATCATGCCACTATATATTTCTATAAATTTTATGTGATAAATATTTAAATCTCTTCGTGTCATTATATTTGAACACAAACTATTCCATGGTATTATTATGGTATTATTTGACTGTAGATAATTTCAAAGAGTCAGCGAATTCTCGGTATACGAACTGTTCAATCCCAATCAGTTCAGATAAATAGAATTTTATTGTTTCGTAGATGAATCATAAAACGCGCGACATCTCGTTCATGTATCCGACGGACAACGACTGTACGGTTTCGTGTGATCCGAAGGACCGTATGCAGGTGAAAGGATGTGAGGTTAAGGTGATTCAGCGATCGACGAGTAATCGATCGGGCCAAGCAGGAAGCGTGGATGGCAAGGAGAGAGGACCGAGGAAGTTACGAAGCTGGAATGCGCACCAGTCCGCGGCAGTCTCGCGCAAACCATCGAGTTGAGCGGCAGGTTCTCGACACGTCGTCGGTTTCTCCTGGTCTACCTTTATGATCGTCGTCAATTGGCATGCCTCGTCGGAAACTAATGTTCAAAGTTTTGTCGCGCTGAACGCTGTTTCGTGTGATATAAGGTCGTGTGTATTCGTTTCTCTCGTGTATCCATTTTAACTTTCAATTAGTTTCGATCACTGCGGAGTAATTTCACGTGATTTACAGGCTCTTCAGTAATCTAGGCATCGTTCTGTTTACTGTTCATGGTAGGTAAATTTTGAAATGAAACATTGTGTGTCAGTTATTGTAAATCTATAATCTAGAATGTGAGATAACCGTAATTTGTGGATTTAATATAAGGCAGATATATAATAGTATATAAAAGTGATATATGGTATATTTTTAGTTGTGTGAAGCTTTTGTCGTACAAATATTTTTATGGACATTGTGAACTATCTGGTTTAGTTTAAGTAAAAAATTCTTCTTGTTACCGAAGCGAGTTGAAGTAAATTAAGTTGTAAAAGTTAAAAATCCTTTCACGAACAAACATTATTTGAGGAATTTATCGTGTATTGTATCATGAGACAAAATTTTTTTGTTTGAATTATATCGATTTATTTGTTGGAATTAAGTGAAAATTATATGAATCGTTTTGTGTTTAGGCGATAGTACTTGAATGTAATTTTATTTGGGAAGAAGTGTTCTTTAACACCTTTCCTAAATGAAATTCTACATTACAATTTATAAATATAATTTGGAATAGAAACGTTGTGCATAAGCATTATAGACAAAAATAGAAAAAATATAATTTTGAAATGTAATTTAAAATTTTAATCATCTTTTCTACTTGATAGTCCCCCAATCTATATGGTTAAATGTCTGGTCATTATTTTATAATTATTTAGGACATTTTTAAGCAGCACAAAATGTTATATTAGTAACATTACAAGTGAATATTTTGAATTAATGGTATAATCGTTGTTGCGACATTTGACACGGTATAGAATTCTTGCTAAGATTTCGTACATAGTAATTGACATATAGGCATTTGCTGGTGTGTTTGGTATGAGAAAGCATTACGGCAGTCTATGTTTGTATCTGCGTGAATAAGCTCAATTGTTACTATCATAGTTGTGATATAACTTTTATTAATATTGTAAGAAAAATGAAAGCAACGAAATAATTGCATTATTAAAATTGGGCTCTTTTTACTATATACGGTGTATTATGTGTATTTGTATATTCACTATACATATAAACGTGATGTTTTGTGTACCTTGGATTCTTTAATATTTCAGTTACTTTTGCTGATAGCGCACCCTAAAAATTTAATGTTCTTACTATCTGTGCAGATTAAATATATTTATTTTCGATATTCAAAGATTTTTATTATATGCTGCAATCTATTACTATAACAAGTAGGAATGTAGAAGAGATCTTGTAACTTAAATATATTTCAAAATTTCTTTCTGCTAAATTAAATTATCAATGTGATTAAGTCAAGCATTATTGCACATCTTCTATTTGTTATTCCCATTTATCGTGTGCATTTATCATGTTATTTTATCAAGTTCTCAGCACACTGTGTGGAAACCCCTTAATCATGGGTGAAATAGGAAGAATTCTAACATTACAAAAATAAGATATTCTGCTTTAAACATTTTATGTATTTTACGAAGGAAATGACAAATAATTCAAAATTTACTCCAATACTCAGAAGGAAATAATACAAAATAAAGTATAAATTGACTGGGAGCAATAAACTGGCATTATAAACATGCTAATTTAAGAAAAGTATCAAATTCTGTTCCAACAATAAGATAAACTGTCATACACGAGACTATATATATATAGTAGCGTAACGTGTTACACATTATATACATACATACATATACATATGTTACTATAAATGTATGTATGTAATGGGCAACATATTGTCACAACTTTTCAGATATATGCCTATCTTTTTCTTTACTTTATATATGCCTATATAGTTAAATGATACGACTTTATTGTTCAACTTTTGTAGTAATAGACTGTATTATACATCGAAAATTATTGAGCATCAAAATTGGATGCATTTATTACGTAAAATTTGCAGAAACTTGTGCTACTTTCTTGTCACGGTGTGTACAAACTACAAATCAGGACAAAGCTGTTTGGTTTAAAATGATGAACATCGAGATTCGTGAGTTTTTCCACAAAATCATTATTTTTCAAGTTTTCAACGGTTTTCCTTTAGACAGAAATACATATTCCTTTTATACACCAATCGATCCGCTTTTTTAGTTTCAAAAGTATTACGGTACTTCTTTGCATCCTAAAATACATTGTTTAGAAGATATTTTAACTTTAATCTTTACAAATCTTATGTATAAAAAAAAGGACAATATAAATCAAGAATATTGTCTTGCGCCTTCCCTTGTCTTTCATACGATAAGTTTTACAAAATTAAAGTTGAAATATCTTTGAACTACTCGTTTTCAGGTACAGGTATCTCAATACTAATGAACTTCATCTTGACATAATCTTTTAATCAATAAAAGTAACTAATATTTTTGTAATTTCTTCGAAAAAGGTTCCTGAAAACTATTTATTTCTGTTACTTTTTCGGAATTTTTCATATATTTAGTTATAATAGAAGCAAACTATACTTTTCGTCTATACTGCATAATTTATTAAGTAAAAGTAATACCTACAGAGTTTTTCTTTAATTTTTATCAAATTTATTGAAAAAGAAAATAATGTAGCTTGTTAGACTGATTCTGTTTTTTTTTATTTTTAAAAATACAATAATTTTATACAATATTCATTATGCTTTTATAATCATTATATGAAATATTTTCGCGTATAATTTAAAAATATAATTTTTGTAATGTGTCCTAATAAATATTCAATATTAATAACATTCTATTTTATTTCAACGATATCATAATAATGAAATAATATTATTCAACAAGTACTTTTACTAAATTGCTTAATTTCTCTTTGTATTGAAATATGTATGTAATTTGAAGGTTACCCTATTTATACCCCAAACATAACAAAGGAAACCCAAAGTATATTATGTTTATCATTATATCATTTAGTGACACTGTAATCTATGTTAGATGTTAAGAAAATCCAAAAATATTAACAAGAAACTGTAAACATTGGAAACAGTAAACCAAAATTAGGATAGAATTTTTGCCCTTATTATTAATTTTAAACATTTCAGAAAAGCACATATAATAATATACATATAATAAAATATAATAAAATATATATAATAAAATAATTCATGAAGAACATTTTTTTAACTAATTTCCTCGTACATACTATCATTCAATTTTTTATTCATTTATTTCGCTACCTTATATTGCTTGATGCCCATGTATTGAAATCCATTTATTATAATATACTATACTTAACTGCACTATAATATACTTTTAATAATTAAATGAAACAATTAAGTGAAACATTTATGAACAATTTTTGTATACCATATCTTTCTTTTAGTTGTCAAAGCATTTAACCGTACTGCCTGTAGTTGATTTATTATTAGTTAAAATTAATTTTAATCAAATATTAGTTATTGTAATTAACAATGTATTAACCTCATTCTTTATTTTGATTGTGCGTTATGATGTTATATTTCTGCATTGTTTTCTACTAATATACTACAATAAGATAACTTTTAAGTCTTCTAATTCTATAATATTTATATTCATTATATGTATATTATATATAGTTACTACCATTAATATTCGCACACACTTTAAAACAGAATAACTTTTTTGTGATAGATCCAAACGACAACATTGTTTTGGAAACTAGATGGATCAATTTATTCCATGACGTATAAAAAAATTTTGAAAAAATTGCAATCGATCGAAATCGCGAAGAAGAAAGTAGAGAGCGCTTTTTACAACTTTTTATCTAGGCCTGTAATAAAAAGTTAAGCAACACATTTTGAAGATTTATGGCAGTTATAAACATATATATGTTTGATGCGGAAACAAGTGACATGTATTCAAAAATGTAGAAATCTTTACAGCTTAGATCTTTACAGTTTATTTTATTACAGTTATAAACTGTTTATTACAGTTATAAACTGATAGTCGTGAACAAATGCAGTTTTCATTATTCTGAATCGTTTATAATCTATAACAGCTATACATTAACTGATTTCGATAAAATTTTCAGCATATATATAACTGGCATGAATCTCCACAATATATTGTTTAAGCTTTTGTTATAAACTGAAATAAAAAAAGTTGTAGAAAGTGACTTTCTTTTTCTGTTCACAATTTCAACCAGTTACATTTTTTGCAACATTTTTGTACGTCATCTGGTAACTAACTTCTCAAAAGGAAAAAGAGTAGAGAGAAATTAAGTCGCTTGATCCAATTTTAAAAAGATAGTTTTGTTCTAAAAGATTTCCGAATATTAATAGGAGTAACTATACATATATTGTGATACTTTTTTACGATTAATGTTAGTTTATCGGTATCACATGGCGTGAAAGTTACAATCTGTCGCAAAAATGTTCAAAAACCTATATAATTTAAGCCATTTTAAATAAATATACATATAAGTGAAGAGAAGAGAAATATGTTATGCAGGGATATATTTACAACGAAGATAACAAGAATGCAAAAATTCTTTATTTATTACATATACTTGTTTAAATAATAATAGAGTAATGGAAGAATAACTCTTTATTATGTCACCAAAATATTTTGATGAAAATATTCGAACATAATAATAATATATTTACATACGTATGTATACATGTATTGCAACTTAGGTCCAAGCATTTACGCTTTTAAAGTAGCAATATTATAACGCAATTATCCATATATATTTTTAAGTCACACGATTGAATAATGCAACCTCGGTCAACAAAATCCAAATAGCAGACTGTTCAGTAGTAATGGTAGAATAAGTAGTTCACACAACAGAGTTTTATCATAACAGTGATAGTATGAAGTCGTAATTGCTTACATTGACCGACTCAATCGATATTCCCATAAATCGATCTCACAGAAGTTGCAGTTGCTATTAACTGATCCGTTAGCAATAAGAGGCAACAGCGACGGCCAATTAGAAAGACTTTTCCGTCCGTTTAAAGGCAACTCGCGTTTCCTTGACGTGTTTATTCTGAACGTGAAATTACTTTTAATGATCGCTTGCCTTCACCCTGTTTACGCCGGAGAGGAAGTTTCTCCGGGACAATGCTCCAATGACAGCCTTCGTGTATTTCGTCACAGATGCTAATTACAGT